AGAATAGGGAATATGTTCTTTGCCTATAATGAATAAATAAAAAGTATGTATAATTTTCGAAATGTTTAAAATAAGTAACATTCTTCTCAATAACCCACAAAAGAAGTGTAACCAGTGTATTAAAGTGCATCTAAAACAGTGCTTGGAATGCCCAAAATCAATTACCTAAGTCTCTACTTAAAAAATCTAGAAAAGACTGGGTGGCGGCGGCGGCAGCAGGACACATCTTTAATCCCAGCACTTGGGAGGCAGAGGCAGGCGGATCTCTCTGAGTTAGAGGCCAGCCTGGTCTACAAAGTGAGAGAGACTCGGTCTCAAAACAAACAAACAGAAAACAAAAAAAACAAACCAAACAAAAATCTAGGGGCTAAAAGGCAAAATAAATTAAGCAGGAGAAAATAATAAGGAACAGACAGAAAATTAGCACAGGTAGAAATTGGTAATGAGATAAATAGATAAGCATCTAGCCAGACTGTTTAAGGTGGGGGGGGGGAGGTAGGGAAGGGAGGGGGAGGAGGGAGAGAGAGGAAGGGAGGCAGGAGGGAGAGGGAGAGAACGTCAGAACAGCGTTGCTTCTGGGGAGGGCACTGACCCGAAGCATGTGAGAAGCATTTTCTGAGGTGATGACATGGACTTTGGGTTGCATACATGTGTGAGTTTGAGAGATGCCTGGCATGATGTGTTTAAGGTTTGTGCATTTCACTGTATCTATATTTTACTTCAGAGGAGGAGGGAGTAAAAATGAAGGAACCATAAGGCCAGGGCCCAGCTTCCATCCGTCCTACACGCTCCTCGGCATCACTTGACCCAGATGGGGTAGCTCTCCATCTGTGGGTGCCCTTGCCTGCCCCTGCGTCTCGGCCTCCTGCTTCACCTCGGCTTTCACTCACATTCCTTCTCATTGGCACAGGCCAGGTGTCCAGTCTGTGGGTCTCTCTTCTGCTCTCCATGCTCCCCGCTCCTCTTCGTCAGCTCTGGTTTAAAAGCCCTCGGGTTTTTGTTAAGAAAGGCCTGGCCCAAATGTCCTAAAACCTCTTTAGAACTTGGGGGCACTTGGGACCAGTTTGTTGTCTGTATTCTTGGACACGCATGTTAGGGTTACAAGAAGAGTCCTGTTTGTCATGGTAATCCATACCGAGCCTGAGCTCTGCTACCTGGGTTTGAGACAAGGATGAGTGCCTGTGTCCCAATCCTTTGCTTCTCATCTTTCCTTCTTTAATTCAAGAAATGCCTGGGGAAAAGGCTCTGGTCCTCCAGAAACCTTTTCTAGGCAAAAATCGAAAACCATTCTCCACAGCCCCTTTTGAAATTGAGAAAATCCCTTCCCAGTTAGCCTGCCTCCCGGCCACTTCTGAGTCTAGTTCTCACTACACACACTGTGTACACACACACTCGGAACTGGTCCTGCCTGGTTCGCTCTGCTTGGCTCTGAGTGTTCCTGGGACTGAGCCAGTCCCAACAAAGCAGATAGCTGGACCCTTGGCAGGATGTGGTGGGTGGGGCTGTTATCACAGGTGCCAGCCGAGGAGGTGGCATGCTAGGCTCGCCATCCGCTTCCAGGTCTTTCCTTTGGAACTGATCCATATCCAGGTCGCAGACAGAAGAGTCTTCAGGGCTTGCCTGGCAGGTGACAGTCACGTTCCCAGGACACAAGTCAAGAGAAACAGCCAGTGTGAAGAAATCCTTTCTCTCCCCTCTCTCTTCTCCCCTCCTTTCCCCTCCCACTTCTCTCTCTCTCTCTCTCTCTCTCTCTCTCTCTCTCTCTCTCTCTCTCTCTCTCCTCCTTCTTAAACAATACTACAAAACCCTACATACACACATAGCCACATGGTTCCTCGGAGTTCCCCTGGTTCCAGTTGCTTAGCCTCTCTGCCTCTCTGAACTGTGAATGAGCGATATGGGCATGGTTGGACCAGCCTTGTAGTGTCTGTCTGTCCGTGTCCGTGTTCACTCTGCTGACGATCACAGATCAAGCGGTCAAGTCTCTATCTGTCGTCTGCAGCTTAACTGTCCTCCAGGAAAACACAGGTCCCAGAGTGCAGGAGTCTGAGTCTCAGAGGATCCAGAGCTACATACATGGGCTCACTGTAGCCGAGGCTAGCCTCAAACTCATTCTGTAGTCAAGGATGACCTAAGCAGTGGGGAATGTTGGGAATATAGATAATTACCACTATGCCCAGCAGAAACGAATCTTAAAAATTATTTACTAATTCATCAGTATTGAAGCTTTTATTTTGTTTTGTTTGTTTGTTTGTTTGCTTGGAGGCAGAGTCTTACTTTGTAGACCAGGCTGGTCCTGAATGCACAATCCTCCTGTTTCAGTTTCTCCAGTGCTGGGATTGTGGGTACATACCACCACACCCAGTTTCCTGCAGGGGTATGGAGTGAACCCAGGGTTTTGTGCATGCTAGGCAAACACACTACCATCTAAAGTACATACCCCACAAGTGTGAAATTTCTTACTGGTTGACTAAAGGAGACACTAACATGTTAGAAGCCTAAAGTGTGAGGTTCTCTGCTGATCCCCTGTCACAGGCTCCTCAGCTTCCACAGGCATCCTCAAGATGGCCAACCCATCTCTCAGAGGCATACACACAGGCTGACCCAGCAGGTGTCCGCAGGATGACTAGCCAGGGTGGGGAATACGTGCTGGGGTCAAGGAGACATTTCTTGCCTTGAAGCCCTTGGCTCATTAGCTCCATGTTCTAACCAACCAAACCTGCCAGCTCTAGACTGGATGATGCTTGTAGCAGTTCCTGGCATCCGATAGACAGTCTGTGAATCAGAACTCTTATTCTCTTGCATGTCTGCACAGCAACCACCCCTCATAGGATGTGCAAGCCTACGCGGTCTCAAGGCTCTGTGAACCCTGATTCACTGGAGATTTGATAGTGTGCAGTTTGGCTGCCTCCTTGCATGTTCTGATACTCAGGACCCAGGAGTCCTGGGTCTGATCCAGGCTTGGTACTTCCGTAAACTCCCTGTGTGACTTGGAGCTGGCTACCGTCTCTCAGTTTCCTATTGATTGGAAACTATTGATTGGAATTTGATACCCCATGCTCTGCCCGGGTTACTAAGGAGAAGTGCAGCTCCAGACAGAAAACAGTGCCTCGGGGCTCTGAAAGTGAACGGGTCATTGTGTGGCTCTTCAAAGAAGACTGTTGCCCAACCTCTGTTCACCCTTCTCCAGCTGTGCTGGCAGCAGGAGGCATTGTTTTTAAAGACTGATGCTTTAGTTCCTTGATTCCTGGGGTGTCCAGCCGCCCCCTACCAGGTAAGTTGCAGAAGGAACAAGAGGAGGTAGCTTTGAGGTCAGGCATGTGGACATGTGTGGACATGGGCTCTGAGACACTCGGCTTCCAGGTCTTTGAAGCTTTTTCCTTCTCACCTTTCAGATGTCCTGTGTCCTTGGTGTCCCTTTGCTCTTGTCCATCCAGTCCTGGAGCCAAGACCCTCCCACACTCATCAGCCTGACCCCCGAAAGGCCCATCACCTTTTTGGTCCAGGACAGCTGAATTGGGACTTTACATTTATAGTCGTTTGGCACGCCTGTACCCACCTCAAGCATAACACTGACTTTCTACACGGTTACAATTTCCCAATAATCGTATGTAGTGGTTCTGGGAAAGTGAGACAATGGATCTATAATTTGCTTCTGAGCATGCGTACATGAAGATGTCAGAATGACGGCAATGCCGTGTGGCATTGTGCCTTGTGGCACAGGAGCAGCAGGACAGCACCGACCAGGCATGCATCAGGAATGGATAAACCTTACCACATGTTACTGAGCTAAAGCGAGAATGAAAAACAGGATGGATTTAGCATTGGCACCCTTTATATGAAGTTCAAAAGGAAAAATTAAAATAAGGTGTTAGAAGTCAGGGCAGTGCCATGCTCTCCTTGACAGTGGGATAGAAAGAGGAGAGCCATGAGGAAGGCTTGAGGGCTGGTCCTGTACCATTTCTTGGTCTGGGTGTTGTTCAGTTTGAAGAGGGTCAGAGCTGTGTGCATTGTAAATTGTGTGATTTCGATCTCCAAGTTGTATTTTTTGTTTGTTTGGTTTTTGCTTGTTTGTTTGTTTGTTTGTTTGTTTCTTGAGACAGGGTTTCTCCATGTAGTTTTGGTTCCTGTCCTGGCTCTCACTCTGTAGACCAGGCTGGCCTCGAACTCACAGAGATCTGCCTGGCTCCACCTCCCAAGTGCTGGGATTAAAGGCGTGCACCACTTGCCGCCCAGCATCCAAGTTATATTTTAAAGCATGCATAAAGATGGCACTTACTGATTTTGTAATCTGATCTGCTTTTTGCAGCCAGTATAAGTCTGTAGGTCCCAAAGCATTTCCTTCTAGAAACCCCAGCCTAGTACATCTAACGGTGTGGGTCACAGAGAGCCACAATTATCTCCTGAGTGGTGCCATTACCAAACACCATGATATCCCAGGATGCTCTAATGGAGGCCTTGTTAGTCATCATCCTTCCCGGATGGAAAAAGCTCCCCTCCATGGATTAGCATCTCCCCTTCTCAACCCAGGCACCCCTGGTTCTCATGGATGATGATGGGCCTCAGCCCACATCGTGCCAGGAGACTTCCATATCCCTGTGTTCGCAGCTCTCCAGTGGCTAACATGGAACCCATGCAGCATGGGCATTCTGAAAACATGAATCCCTGGGTCTTCCCCCTTGAAATTTCCTTCCCCACAGAATTCTGCCCGGATGGATGGGGTTGTGCTCAGAATGACTTTCCCACTTGTAACCTGGGTGACATCAGTCAGAAGTGTTCCCTCCTGAGCCCCACCTATCTGCAGATGAGGACTGCAGCCCCAGCACCCCGGTGTTCACATGAACTGCAGTGGAGCAAGGATCTCCTTGGGTGACATTTTCAGCCCTTGGGTGACATTTTCAATCTTTGCCTGATGTGTAGTCAGTAAGAGGAGACACTGGAGAGAAGAAGGCCCTTCACCCCTTAATAGTAACCCAAATAATACAAAGCTTGAAAAAATATTCAAAGAAACACTATCAATTTATTGATTTCCTATATTTCAACAAAGCAAATACATGGTGTATCATACAGGGAAACAGGGTCTGGCCGGCACAAGGTTCTCACACAAGACAGAGCCAGGAGAGTGAGGCTGGAGGGAGATTCCCAGAGACCACAAGCCCAGAGCTCCAGCCGGGAGCTGAGTGGACATGCACAGGCCATCCTTGTCCTCTTGGGTCCTTAGAAGAGGTGTGGGATCTGGGTGGCTGCTGGTGGCCAATAGTTGGATCTCTCACAGGAAATCCCAAAGTCAGGGAAGGCCTTTCTTATTGGTCCTCAATTGTAACTTGTTTTAGGCATGGAAATAGGAAGCAAATTCGAATTAAAACACTAAGACAGGTCTGGGATACATCAAGTCCAGCCAGCCTCTTATTCCCTGCTTCTAGGGATGTATCCATAAGCCCCGTTAATTTTACCCTTCTTGAGTGACAGGCATGAGCTGGGCCCAGCCCACTTGGCCAGCCTGAAATCATGGAGGAAATTACCATCATCAGGCCTGGCTCCGGGATGTCTGGGCACCCATTTCATCCCCAAAGCAAAAGGTGGGCCTACCTAACCTTCTTCCTAGGGAAAGGAAGACTAAGCCCCTGGGCTGCAGGAAGTGAGCACGGTGCCGAAGGGAGGGCGTTGCTCGGGGTCTGTAACAGTTCCACTGGTTGACTTGGGTGTTCTATATATTTCTCTCCAACTTACTTAAGAAGGGCTCGGTTCCTAAAGCCCAGGACTTGGGTACCCTTTCTCCCTGGGAGGACACACACTCTATGGGACAGGGGCGTGGGAGGTTCCATTTACTGATGTACCTTAAGTGCCTCCGTAGAATGCTGCCTGGCACAGAGTAGTGTGCCAATGGCATGTTTTAAGAAATGGATTGTTTGGGGTCCCAATGACTGGCAAGGGAGATCCCAAAAAAAACCTATTCAAGGACAGTGTGATGGGGCAGCATCCCACAATGATACTGGAGAAGGCAGGGGGCAGAGTCTAACATGAGCCAAACTGGGAAGCGTGTTGCAGACTCAGAGTGCCAGAGCACGCTGGCTTAGGTAGTTGAGGACTCCTCTCAGGGACGATGTCCCGTCTATCTGACCTCCATCCTCAGGGGACAGATCTTTTACCAAGCTACCCTGAGCCACAAGAGATTTTTTACAGTCTTACTGCTGGAGTAAGAAGAGGGGTGGGCCAGGAAGCACCCTACATCCTCCTTGAGGGAGGTGTGGCCCTGATCACTCTTATCTAACCACACTAGCTGAGAGGTGCGAGCCTAGACATGAGAGGTCCTGGGGAGGCTCAGCTCTGCCCCATCCCACTCTGTTCTAGGGACCTTGACACAGACAGGTCCACTCTTGGGGTTCTCTCAGGTGCTCTTTGGCTACTACTGTCTGCAGTGCAAAGTTTAGGGGGTTGGCTGCCTCCACCCCGATAGGCCTCTTGGATTCACAGGGACAGAATACAGACAGGACAATTAGGGTTCCGGGAGAAAGAGGGATGGCTGAGGGCTAGGATGTGGGCTGGCTGATGCCCAACAGGACACTTTCTGTTCCTGGTCCATCCACCCAAATTCCCCCCCTTCAGCCTCTGGGACCCCCAAGCACTCTCTCAACCGACACTAAGCAGGCTGGGTCTGAGGCACATCACAGATAATTTCCAGTTCTCCTCCCTTGTTCTGTGAGAAGCCTGAACAGGCAGCTACCTGGTCCCCAACTGTTCCCTCCCTAATCCCCCCGGGAGGGGGGATGGGAACAACTACCTGTTCCCTAGCTCAGGCACTACTCTTGCTTTCTTTCTCCTGAAATAGATGCTTGCAGGCTCTCTGAAATCTGGGGCTCTGCTGGCTAAAGGCTGCATTTGGCTGCAGAACCCCAAAGAATGATGAGCCTCTCTCTCGGCTCCTGTTCCCTAGCTAAGCAAGTGACACCATCCTGCGTCTTCTGGAGTTCCCATCTGCCTCTTAAGAGGGAACATTAGCCTCAGCCCTGGCTACTGCCCCTTCTCATGCCATCTGGGAAGAGGCAGAGAAAGGCTGCTGAACTCTGTGGCTTGACTGGCAAGAGCCCCTGTCTGGACACACGATACTTTCAGTTAACCCAAAACGCATGTGGCTCTTGTCTTTAAGGGAGACATGGAGAGTCCTCTGTGCTGTCTGTGAACTGCAAAGAATCAGCGTACCTAGCCTGTTGCAGTTGTTGGTTATGTTGTTAGGCATTCACACACACACACACACACACACACACACACACACACACACACACTCACTCACACACACACGCATGCACGCGCGCACACATGCACGCACATACTTACATTATACACATTTTATATATATATATACTGTTTCTCAGAGAAGAAAGTATTGACATCAGATGTAAGCCCCTTTAACTCAAGAAAGTTCCCCCACCCAACCTCCCAAACCCTCTTGCCTCCCAGATCCCCTAAGGAAAAAAAAAAAGAATCAAAAATTATTTCCATCATCCACAGTTTTCAGGTTGCTCTTGGTTGCGTCTGAACGTCTCCAAATACTGCACAGGATGAATCAGGTAACCCATCTTCAAGGCCTGAGGTCTTCTGAGCTGGGTCATGTCTTTCTAGAAAGAGAAACTGTCAAGTTAGGGTATATTGAAAGGCGGACATGATAGTGTGTGCCTGCAATGATCAGTTATTTGGCTAAGGCAGCAGGGTCACATGTTTAAGGCCAACCTAGGCTACAGAGCAAGTCCAAGGCTAGCCTGGGAGACTTAGGAAGACCCTATCTCAAGATAAAATATAAGCAAAAGAGGATTGAGGTTAGAACGTAGTGGTAGAGTGTTTGCCTAGAATGTGTGAGGTCCTTGGTTAAATCCCTAACAACCGCAACATACAGAGTTTCATGTAGTGAGACCTTGCTACACCAGAAAGTCTGGCCCATGCTGTACACTGCTTCTCATTTACACCCTCCCAAAGGTGTCTGCTTCAATGTTTATCTGTGGTTCTTGACTTCTCTCCATGAGAAACCCCTCGGATACCCATTTAAAAATAACATTTTCCTACATCCCACTTAAGGGCTATCAAGTCAGAATTGACAAGATGGAAGGCCAGAGCGTGAGTAGCAAGCATTCCAGTTGATTCCAGAGAATGTTCAGCTTACAAAGCTTTGACAGAGTGTTAGATTTGGGCTTCTGGTCTCTAGAATCATCAACTGGAAACAAAGCTTGTCCACACGAAGTGTGTGCGGGATGAAAATGGGTTTTAGAAGGATGGAGGGGCTGGAGAGATGGCTCAGTGGTTAAGAGCATTGGCTGCTCTTCCAGAGGACTCAGGTTTGATTCCCAGCACCCATGTGGTGGCTCACAACGGTCTGTAACTCCAGTTCCAGAGGATCCAATGGCCTATTCTGGCTTCCTTGGAAACCTGGCACACATAAAGTGCACAGACATACATGTAGGCAAGATGCTCATACGCATAAAAAATAATAAGAATAAAAAAATAAGAACAGAAAGTAAGCTATACTTACTGACCTAACCCAGAACAGCATTGTGACGCCCCCCCCCTTTATAAAACCCACTCGTGAGTGGCACCACCTGGGTTGTGCAGTGGGCAACCTACACAGTTCTACTTAGTAGTCCTACACAGAGCTCGGGCCCTTCCAGTGTTAATAAAACACCACATATCTTTAATTTCCTGTGACGGGACAGCCATGTCCTCAGCTAGGAGTCTACATGGCTGTCCTTCCTGCCCTGCTAGTCAGAGCTCAACTGCTTGCCAAGCCGAAGGATGTATTTCCCTAGAGCGCACAGGCCTAGCCTCTCTGAGCGGCTACGATGGTGGGCCTGGAGATGTCCCTGGCCATGGGGCAGGCCAGTTCTCACCTGCAAGCTGAACTTGCTTGGACAGCCTCTTCTTAGAACCGGGAGGTGAAGTTTCTGAGGCTGTGGGCACCGGCTATGGTTCCCAGCATGTTCCTATCGAAACCTTGCTGTAAGAGGAGAAACAAACACACGATGCATCATGGGAGAAGCGGGGGGGGGGGGGGGGGGGGGGGGGGGGGGGGGGGGGGGGGGGGCTTGATGCCTGGTCAGGAGCCACTTCTTTAACATCCGTGGGTTCATCTAGACTCTGGACACACCAGTGTGCTCTGACCGCTGTGTACGTATGCCTAGGCCACAAGGGACCTGATTAAAAAATACCCTAATGCCATGAACATCAGTGCCGTTAGTGAATTTGCATTTTGCACATTTGAGTTTCCTATTTGTGTTTGCAGACATCGAGCACAGAATTAAGAGTTCTTTATTTTTGAGAATGGGTCTCATGTAGCCCTCTTGACATAGCCAAGTGTCCTGGCTAGTTGTATGCCAACTTGAAACAGCTGGAGTTATCTGAAAGGAAGGAACCTCAATTGAGAAAACGCCTCCATAAGATCCCGCTAATTTTTTAAATTTGTAATCAATGGGGGAGGGCCCAGTTCATTATGGGTGTGGCCATCCCTGGGCTTGTGGTTCTGGATTTTATAAGAAAGCAGGCTGAGCAAGCCATGTGAAGCAAGCCAGTAAGCAGCACCCCTCCATGGCCTCTGCATTAGCTCCTGCCTCCAGGTCCCTGCCCTGTGTGAGACTGACTCCCCTCCAACCTGCTTTTTGGTCATGGTATTTCATCGCAGCAGTAGGAACCCTAAGACACCAAGGATGGCTTTGAATTCTTGAATCTCCTACCTTTGCCTCCCGAGAGCAAGGATTACAGGTGTGTGCCACCACACCTGGCTTTTCTAGGTCTCAGACAGTGAGGACAGGGCTAGTGGCTCTCCAGTGCCGAAGGCACAAGAGCAAACTCTTGAGTGGAAACCGAAGGGGTTCTGTTACTGAGCCCTGGCCTTTCTAGGACATACTACGTTCCCAAATGGCTGGTGTGCCCTTTGTCCACCCTTCTTGCCACCTTGATTGAAGCCAGTGGTTCTCAATCTTCCTAATGCTGAGACCCTTTAATACATTCCCTCACGTTGTGGTGACCCCCGACCATAAGATTATTTTTGTTGCTACTTCACAACTATAACTTTGCAACTGTTATGAATCATCAAGTAAATATCTGATGTGCAGGATGGTCTTAGGTGACCCCTGTGAAAGGGCCCTTGGAACCCCCAAAGGGGTCACAACTCACACGTTGAGAACCACTGCTCTAAGTGCTCTTACACTGGGCTTTTCTCACATTTCCTGCATGGCACCCGTGGCAGATCTTCTGGTCAGAGTCCTGCTCACACTCACTGCTGCTCACGTCTGCTTCTGACTCTCCTCTGGAGTCGCTCTCTCTGTGCTTCTGGGGAGGGCACAAGCCTTTCCCTCCCTTCCCAATCTGCTGGGACTTTAGCACAGGGCAAGTGTGGGAAGAGTCTGGTCAGGAGGGCCACGGGCGGGCGTATGCTCTTACCTGCCTGAGGATGCCTTGCAGCTCCCTGCTGGCCCACATGTCAGACAGGAGCAGCCGGGCAGCCTCTGCAGCCTTAGGTGAGGCGCTACACAGGTGGAAATGGGGTGTGAGATCAAAGTCCCTATGGCACGGGAACACCCCTTCCCCGGCCACCCCCCACCCTACCCGCCTTTAGGGTCCAGAGATGTGGGGAGGCCCTGAGTGCATGAAAGAGGAGCCCTAATGGAGGCAGTGAGCCTGAGCCGTTATACAATGGGCACATCTCACACCCTGGCCCATCTGGAGGCACCCTCGAGTTCTCTAACCCTGGGTGAAGAGAGAGCCCAGGGAAGCAGGAAAAAGTTCTCATACAACTAGATCTCACTCTTCTATGCTTCCTGCTGAACCTTGGACAGCCTAGTGCCCCGCATGTCCCCCAGCTAAGAAGTGTACTACTCTGTCCCCTCCATGGGAGTCTGAAGCAACAGCCCTTCGGCATCAGCTTCTAGAATGTCTTCCTCAGGCTGCCCCTGCCTCCCCTGGGCACATTCTCTGCTCCCTGGGAGCTCCTGTGTGGGGAGGGGAAGTGGGTCCCTCCTCCGTCCGTCCGTCCGTCCACCTGTTGCGGCACAGGTTGAAGACATTGTTGAGCATGCTGTTGGAGAAGTACTGCTTGGCCATCTGAGGCTGAGAGGTCATCAGGTTCCTCACAGTGTAGCAGGCCGAGGACAAGATATCTTCAGAGTTGCTGGTGTTGCCGGTGTGGCTGGTGAGGAGTCTGGTTACCTCTGGGAACACCTGGTTTCCTAGAGATAAAAAAGGAGTTGGGGAATGGGGTCAGGATTGCCTTGGATTGGCAGAGGGGTTCCCTCAAGAGCCTCAGTACTCATAGTTCCCTGCCAGGCAGCAAGCAAGGTAGCCCCTCAAGGACCCACAGGGCCCACGGATTTCTGTAGATCCACCCATCAAGTGACAATTCCCTCTTACTCCCATACCTCTCTTGGACCAAACTCCCCTCAGCATCCTCATACTATGGAATCCACTGAGGCTGACCCCCTAGAAGGCTCCAGAGAACTCAGGCCTGTGTGTCGTAGGTGGAAGACAGGCATCTTACCCATCATTCTGTGCAGCACAGGGTGGCGGGACATGTTGCTCAGCAGAGAGGCCCCGGACCGCACCACATCTGAATTGCCGGATTGCAGGAGGCGGGCGATTTGGGGCAATCCCTTTTCCTTAAGCCCAATCAACTGGCTCATACCACTGGACATCTGAGAGAAAAGACCCAGGGAGGAGCTGACCTGTGGCCTCCGGGCACCAAGGTTAGTAGAGAGGCAGATCACCCCAAGTAAAGAAACCCCGAGCCTTTTCTCTCTCACCCTTAAAGTTAGGAGGAAACAAAATTGCTCAGACCCGAGTGACTATGGAACAACCAGGCTTCACCTGCCTCTGGCCGGTCCCCATGCCTGGTCAACCGGAAGCTCTGGTGACCCAGGATTTCTCTCACTCATGGTGACCCAGGATTAGTGTCTAGACTGGCGGTGTCCCATTCTCACTCACAGTGAGATGCCTCTCTCGGGTAGTTATCTGTTTCCATGAAACCCCGGGGCCAAGGGCATGTGACAATTTTAAAAAGTCTAATTATCTTCAAACTCCCCAACCCCTACAGAATCCAATGCACATTTACTGTGGCCTTGCCCAAGACCAAGATGGCTCAGAAGGGGTCTTGGTCAATATGGAGATAGAACTGGGATCCCTTGCAGGCAAGCCAGCTTCTCTGGGCTGCAAACCCACATCCTGGTGTGACCTAATCTAGGCCAGTTTGGTGTCCTTGAGAACCCCAGCCTCCTCCTCTAAGAACCAGAGGTGATCTTGACCCTCAAGATGCCCATGTGTACTGCTCCCCAAGTCTCTTCTGTCCTGAGTGTATCTGGCTAACAATAACTGGTCACCCCCCAGTATTCTATGGCTTTCCCTGCATCATCATGACCTTGAACCCCAAGGCTGATTCAGTCACAGCTTCCTCTGAATCTGCCCATGCCTATTTATCTGTCAGTTCATCACATGGGGATTTCTCTCGCTAAACAAACTCCTCATCCCTGTCCCCGAATGCACGCGGAGCCCCAGTGGTCCAGCGCCATAGGACAAGAGGTTATAGTGTGGGCATTACCCAGGAGTTCTCAGAGGGCAGAGGTATGTCTGCCCCCATCACTGCTCTGGTGGCCAGCCCAGGGTCCAACATGCTCACATCTGCAGCTCGAGGCTTACTCAGAGCCAGATGCGTTTGAGAGACTCGGGCAGGGAAAGGATAGGCTTGGCGGGAAATGCAGGGAGTGAGTGGGCTGGAGAGATGGAGAGGGAGCCTCCTCACCAGCCCCTTGCTGGCTGTCAGGTTCTGCAGGGCCCCGGCACAGGCCTCTAGGGTAGCATCTTTCTTGCTCTTGCCCATGAGGTTCAGGTAGGTGCGGATGGCATCAGAGTGGTACAGCCAGCTGCTGCCCTTGGGGTTGGTCTCCTCCTCAGGAAGGGGGCAGTCATAGTTATTGTTCTGCAGACAGACAGCAGGGCAGTGAGGGACCTGGTGATGTAGCACACCCAAGCATTCTACCTCTCCCCCAATCCCAGGTTGTGGATTCTGCGGGGAAGGATGGGAGAAGACTGTTCCCTGGACCCCCTTTCCTCTGCACATTCCAGAGCTCCCCCAAACGAGGGACTCTGGGCAGCATCTCAGGAAGTGTGCTCCAGGGGAGCTTCATCCCTGAGCCCCCAAGGCTGGCCTGGAGCTTGGCTTCTGCATCCCGACTGTCAATCTACAGCACCTTTCTTGGGAGGCTCAGGAGGTGGTGGGATCCCTTGCCCAAGATGGTAAGAGTTCTATTGTTTCCTCAGCCTCAGAGGTCAGGGGAAGACAAGGACGGTTTCCCCATTATGTAACGAGAGGAATGGGGGCCCACAGAAAGGGGCCTCCAGCTTTCGCCCTTGGGTGGTTTGGACTCCTACAGCCTCCAAGGGTCCTCTGTGCCCTCTAGGAGGCGGCAGGACTGTGGTGTGCCGCCAAGAACAAGGCTTTGCGTGGGCTTGTCCTCTAGGGCATTTTTTGGCTCCTAGAGAAGAGGGCTGCGGGGAGGTGGACCTGGTGGGTGCTTGGGGCGTGGGCCCCGCCTCTGCAGTGGCCCCGCTCACCATCATCTTGTCACCCCTGTTGCTGAAGCAGCCTGTAGAGGACTTCTCAGTGTAGGTGTTGCGGGCATTGTACTCCAGCTGGCGGTAGCGGGTGGGCACCTCGGCATCCAGACGGTAGGAGAGGTTATGCAGGATACACATGCAGTTCTCCACGGACTGCGGGCACAAAGGAGTGTGTAAAGAAAAGAAAAAAGAAAAAAAAGAAAAAGAAAAGAAGAAAAGAAAGAAAGAAAAAAGAAAGAGAAAAAAAGAAGAAAGAAAAAAAGAAAAGTTCTGTCCAGTCCCAACAGACTTCTGGGCCTGCCACCCACCCGCAATATTCACAGTGGCCTGCGCCATTGTAAGTCAGGAAAGATCTCTCAGGCACACCCTGGGAACTAGTCCCAATTCCTGCCTCTGTCAACCACCTCCTGGCTGTTGGTACCTCTATGATGACTCGCCTTGATGGGCCTCAGCTCCCTCGGGTGTAAAATGGACTATTCTCACCTCGTTTGTCTAGTGGGGGAGAGTAGGCCCCCATTCTACACCCACAGAATGAACCAACCCCAAATTGAAATTATTTAAAAAAAAACACACAAGGTATTCCTGAGTATAGATTTCTTTCTTGGCATTATTAATAACTATTCATTTGGCGTTTATATTGTATTAGGTTTCATAAATAACATATGGATGATTGAAAGTGTACAAAGGAGTACGTACAGGTTATATTCAAATACCGTCATTTTATAGGAGGGCTCGAGTGTGCCTGGGAATCTGGACCAACGTCTATGGTTACTGAGGGGTGATTGTACAGGAAGGAAAACCAACCCTGGGGCCTTGCACGTAACACACACAGCAAACAGTGGTGACTATTGCTACAGACCACGTGTGGGCCTGAAGACTAAAAGTGTCTCCCTTTCTAAAGCGACTTCCTTTAGAAGCAGTCCCAGTTCCTTCCGGCTTTAAAAGCATCTAGTCACCGCTGTCTTTCCTGTCCCCTCTTCCCATGGTCAACCCTCAGCCCCCAACATTAAAGATGCTATGTGCATACCAACAACGAGACCTGGGACCCGGGACTTCACAGAAGCACTGGAGTCCACAGCTGCCATTTGCTTGTGGTGAGCCTCCAGGCTAAGGGCGTGGTCCCTTTTGGGGTCAGGGTGAGTCTGGCTTCTAGTGCTTAGGGTTGTCTGGGTACAAGGGATGTACACAGACCAGGAAAAAGGGGAAAAGAGCACTTTTCCTGCAGCTTAATGACAAGGCTGTTCTTAGAGGAAGGAAGCAAGAGATAAAAATTTCCCTCCATTGACCTTCCTGGTGACCTGAGTGTGGGGACTAGACCTCACTGTGTCCTGAGCCACTGTCCGGCTGTTGAGGAAGTGTCCTAGCCTCCAGTTCATCTTTTCTCCATGAACTGTCCCTTCAATTTGCTCATGCTGCTGCATCCAGAAGTCTAGAGAAGGCAGGAGGGGCAGCTTGCCAATGGCTTTTCTGGGGATACTGGAAGGAGTTACATCTTGGAAAGGACATGGGGGTCCTGGGAGCACTTTTACGGGCTTAGCACCACAATAACAGGGGGCCCCTGAGCTCAAGCAGGAAGCACTTACATGTTCTAAATGTCCCCTCCACTTTTCCTCCCTCTGCTCCTGTCCTGTCCCTGGGCAGATTCCACAAGCATCCAGAAAGTGTAACCTGACTCATGGGTTCTCAGAGAGAGAAACGTCAGGACCAGGGAGAGTCCCCGACTTAAGTGTGTGGCCCTCGGCTTTGCAGCTATGGCCAGAGACAACAGGGTGGGAGACAGAGGTGTCACCAGGGGCCCGTACCCTCACCTTGTCATCACAGCGGCTGGCAGCCACACAGTTCTGGACATAGGCCATGAGGGAGTCAATGAGCCCTGAGTAGTTCCGCATAGTCTGGCGGCCAGCATCAGCTGAGCTCAGGTTCCTGCAGGAGAGAACCAGGGAGGAGGAGGATGCAGGGGGTGGTGGTGATGGGAGGGCAGGGCAGGAGGGCCGGGGTGCAGTGGGGGCCAGCAGAGAGCACAGAGCAGAATTTGGAAGTTGTCACAGGAGTAAGGGAGAAGGGGAGAGAGGAACATAAAGAAAAAGGGGAGAAGGAGAAGAAATCATTGAGCCATATCTGCCTGCCTGGCCCTGGCTGCAGGGGGTCTCCTCTGAACTCGGTTTTCATAGTTTGTCATTTAGTCCCCAACACAAGACTCTCAATGGCGCCACCGCATCTGACAGCCCCACTCCTGCCCTCTAGTGGCCATTTGAGGGACAGGAATTGGAAGGGGTGGCATGCTAGCATGCTCTTTTTGCCTGAGCAAAGCAGAGCTGAGGGGGTGCTGGACCAGAACTAGCAGGGGTGTGTGTGTGGGGGGGTTAACGTGGGGTTCAGACGTAGTTACCTCCTATAAAGGTTGCGTTCATTCCCAAGCACTGTGGGTCCTCCTGACCTAGGTGGTGCGTATGGTGCACGTATAGGATGTGTGTGTGTGTGTGTGTGTGTGTGTGTGTGTGTGTGTGTGTGTGTGTTGTCACATCCAGGAGCCATTGTGGCCCCATAAAGTCCTTAATTACTCTGGCTTTTCATCTACCCAGCCTCTTTGCCCTCCGGAAGCTGTGGCTGGAGGCTGGCGGGGAGATGTGCAAGCTGAGACACAGCAGCACATATCAACTTCGCCCCTATTCTGCCAATTCTTCGGAGTTCCGGGGGGTACAAACTCCCATTACAGCAAATGAGACCCGATGAGGGAACTTGTTCCACGGTTCCCTGCTCCATGCCAGCACCCACCCCGCAGCACACCCAGATCCCACCAGGGCTCTGCCACACCCTGCAGTGATCTCAAACAACTTTGGGCAAGGCAGCACCATCTCCATGCCAATGAACACGGCAAACGGTTTCAGCACTCCGGCAGGAGGTGACTCATGAGCAGCCAGTCAGCAGACTTTTGTATAAAAGAATGCTCTTCAAGATAGCACAAGAAATACATTTTTCCCCCCTGAGGGCGGAGGAGGGGATTTAGTTGAATCAGTTTGGGTATTCAAATGCAGGCTTTTCCACTCTTAGACTCCCAATGATGCCGTCTAGATCCTCTGAGGTGGTTTCATGACACAGCCAGACTCAGAGACAGTGGTGATACCTGACCCTTTGTCCTGGAACCAGCCCACAAAAAGCAGGGCTAGGGAAGAGCATTATGTTCTCTACTCTGGCTGAATGTTGGCTGACGTGGAGGCTGACTGTGGAAGGGCCCCGGGGAAAAAGACTTTACATGCCCTCTTCTCACACCTCAAGCAGCCCGTGGCGTTGAAGAAGACCTCAGGGTCCACCATCTCCCGGGACATGTTGCTGTTGCCGTCACACCAGCCAGAGAAAGGAATGATGACCCGGTCAGTCAGAACAGGTAGAGCATCGGCCACCAGCTCCTCCTTCAGCTCGTCAGTGGAAGACAGGTTCCAGAGCAGCCCTGGACACAGACATGGTCAGCTCAACATGGCGGGCTCTGAAAACCTAGGGACTGATGGTGCTGCCCCTAGCTTGGGCTCTAGCCAATGGCTACCTTCCAAGTGGGATTGGCCCATCAGACGCATTGTCTGACTCCCTGGTGATCCCATTCTCAGTGCCCTTGGGGACTGCAGGTTCTTTGAGGTCTGGGAATATCTCAGCGTCCCCTGTCTAGGTAAAAATTATGCACATGAAAGCTTCCTAAAATATAGTTGGTTGATCAGTAGTTTTAACCATTTATCTTGGAACTTGGAAGTGCTTAACATTCTCTGTTTTCCATCTGAAACAATACATGGAAAGTATCGACCATGGAGGTCGGTCTAGAAATTTTTATCCATTGTTACTCTGAACATTCTTGTCTTCCCAGTCTTGACGGTGACTTCTCTGTCCTGTACCCCACCTTGAATACTTCATGTACTTTGTGAATACAGGGTAAGGTCATCCTTTAAAACCCACTAGTCCCTGCTCCACTGGCTTGGCTTCCCTTCCATCACCTGCCAATGTCACTGCCGTCTACGTAAGGCTCCTTCCCTTGCACCCCAGTCTTGAAGATGTCGTGTGCAGAGTGTACACCATCTCAGGCTGTCATCTGGACACCACTACTCCAGTTGGAGCCAGTGCCACTGAACTCCCGAACTATAGCCCAGTGAGACCTATGCAGCCATACCTTAGCCTAGCCTAGAAGGATCGGCCCCCGGACACACTCTGCCGCCTTGCCCAGTCCCCACCCTGGTTTCTCCACCGTAACAGCCTACCGGTCAACTGTTTCTGGATCTCTGTGCTTCCGCTTCTCCGCAGGAGGCTGACGGCCTCACGGATCCCATTCTGCCTCCTGGTCTCCAGCTTATTGGTGGTGCTCCTGAACACCAGGTTGCGCAGGGCGCCAGCAGCAGCCTGCTGGACATTCTGATTGGGGCTGCGGAGGAGGTCCACCAGCTTGCAGATGCCCCCCAGCTGATAGACCTGCCGAGAGAGTGGCTCACATTATTGTTTGTTCAAAGGGAGGGAGGCTGAGACACTTATTCTCTACTCAAAGCAGCTGTTTCTCAGGGGGAAAAAAAATCAGTTCAGAAGCACACAAGCCAACCACAACAGATAAACAGCAATGAGTTAATGGTAACTGACCCAGACAAGAAAGCCAAAGACCTGGATTCAGAGCCCAGCTCTCATCCTACTCGAGGCCCTTAGCAAGTCTCTCCTCTGTCTGGAGCCCTGTTTTCCTCTTCTGAAGCATGCTAAAGACTAGATGAGAAGATGGACTGCCATGCTTCAGAATCCTAAGGGGACACAGATGCACTGGAGGTGCCACAGAAACTCTCCTATGGCCGAAATTTGGATGAAAACTCCCCAGGCTTCTAGGAAGCCACTTGTGGCATACATGGCTGCACTGTGTTCTGTAGGTGTTTTCCTAGCTGGCCAACAGCCAAGCGTGGGAGGCAGAAACGAACCTTGTTTTTGACTGAGGGAAAGAGCTGGGAGGGAGGGAGTTGAGACGGGGGGGGGGGGGGTGGAATAGTCATATCCTTGAGTGGAATCTGAGGAAGGGGATTTCTGGGAAACTCATGGCTGTCATTGATCCGTGGGTCTCTTCCATGGCTGTTGTAGAACACAAGCCTCCTAGTGTAACAGCTGTTATTATCTTCATCACAACAGCTGCAACTGCTTCTAAGAGACCCTCAAGATGGTGTTTGCTGAGGGCTGGGGCAATGGCTCAGTGGATGGAAGAGCTTGCCGCAAATCCTGATGATCTGAGTTCAAATCCTGGTCATCTCCAGGACTCACACAGTGGGAGAGAACTGAATCCTGATAGCTGTCTTCACACACACACACACACACACACACACACACACGCACATGCAGAGTAAAAGAGAAAGATTGGGCCTGTCATTAGGAGGGGATGGAGAGAATCATTAGAGCTTTGCCTGAGATTTCAGCCACCCCTTCCCACACCTCCCTCCCAGAGAGATGTAATTCTGCCCAAGTTGCGTAAGCTCCTGTGGTCTCAGGTCTTGGAGGTGATAGAGTATAGAGAATATGAAAGATTAGATGAAGAGAGGGGGCATTCCATCTTTTTATCTGTGCTGGGATGAGACTTGCTTTGGGGGTCACTGACGCTCTTGTAAATTACTCATCATCCCTGCTTTGTAAATAAACCCAAGAAAGTCACTGATATGCCAGGGTGTATCTTGGTGGGATCAGTACTCGGGTCTGTCATTGGTACACTGTCTCAGGTGGATAGCTGTTTCTTTATAACTCTGTAGGAAATGTTCACATGGCCAGTGGGATACATACACCTGTCTAAGGTCCACTCAGGAGGAGGGCATTACTCGGCAGGTTAAGATGCAGCTCTGATCTTGCCAGGAGTAATCCTTCTCCTGGTGGCTGGGTGCCATGAAAGGGAACCAACTACACCTGCTTCCACTCATCTCCAAAAGTGGGGCCAGGCTGGCACACTCAGGACCTAGCAGCGGGGAAGGTGGACAGCCGTTTACCTGTTGCTTGGCAGACTCGTCCTGGAAGCAGGTGTGCTGGATGTAATAGGCCCCGATGGCCTGGTACTTCTCATCCTGGGAGCTTAGGTACTGTACAGCCTTGGGGATGGTCAGCCCACTGCACTCAATGTCCTCACTGCAGATCCTGGAAGAATGGGGTACAGCGGATTACAGGGTGAGCTGGGAGCTGGGTGAGCTGGGAGCCCTGGCGAGCAGGCTCTAAATTCTTCCTTGTACACTCAGCCACTCCAGGGAAACAGAACAAGGCGGCCAGGCTCCCTTGGAGAACATCTTGTGAACAGCTCCCTACGAGGAAGGAAAGAGGCTGTGTTCGGTTGGAGTTTCCCTCTCTTGGGATAAGGCCCCTGTGGTGGGTCAAGGCTGGAGCAGGACAGTTACCTTTACACTGTGCACAAACTTGGCCCTGCTTCCTGAGATGAAGCTTCACATCTATCCTACCATTCTCTCTGTGCTGTGTCCTGGGAAAGTGAAAGCGAATGGCCTGTGTAGTCCATCTCCACGCCCTACCCCCAAGTCCAGCTAGCTTCTTACACACACAAACTCTTATGTTCAGTCTTTCTCGTCCTCACACTCACCATATCCGTCTGTGTTAGGATAGCCTTCATGGGGCTAGAGGCTAGAGGGTTGCTCCACCCAGCATACTACAGCCTTTAACTAGGTCCTGAAAGCCTGTCCACGAGCTTGTTCTCCAGCTCAGAAACCAGCTGCAGCTTCTCCATACAGCAGGTTCAAGTTCACACTGCTTGGACAGACACTGAAGGGCATGCATTAGGTTGAACTACAGCAAATGGCTATTAGTTCACTGTTTTAATGGATTGCTGGCTTCACTGCAACCCCTGGCACGTTCCCTCGCCTCTGGCAAGAGTCTTGGTTGTAGCAAAACATCCTCGGTTCCAGGCACGAAGGCCTAGCCTAGGCCGGCTGGAGTCTCCCTTCCAAGAAGCCTTTCCAAGGAAGGGAATCCTCGTCTGGGAACTCCTCCCCCGGCTCCCACGGCTCCCATGGTGTACAGCCACGGGCAGCCTTTCCGCTCAAGTGTGCTCTGCTTCTGAACAGAGAGAAAAGGTCCCGGAGGGCAGAGACAGACCCTCTGTGGTGCCCCAGCCCTACCCCACAGGTGTCTTCAGCATCTACAGTGGGAACCCTCTCCTCATTTGGACAGAACTGATACTTTGCCATAGTTGGTGCTCAGTAAAGAGCCACAGTTATAGCTAAAGCAATCCAACTTCATTTCTGAAAAAAGTATCACCCAAGGAGCAGAATTCTCTGGCTCTGGGCTAGTTGCCCACCTGACCTCTATTGAGAAGGCATCACCTTACCCTTTATCAGTCAACTGTCCCTTCTGGGTGGCTTGCCATTCAATTCTAGACTTCTATGGCAGACGGCGCCATGGTTAGACTCCCAAAGAGAAGGACTTCTGAGTCCTTTCACAAGTTATTCTAAATACACCGCTTTAAACGGAACCTGCTTTCTTTCAGAACGGTGTGGGGCTGATCAGAAGGAGTGCAGCCTACAGAACCAGCTGTGTGGCCTTGGGCAAGTGCCACTGTCCGTGGCCCTCACCAGGGTCTGCCTGGGAAGGGGCTGCATAGGAAGAACACAGAGTCACTGAGAGTGTGTGCGGTGGCTGGATCACCAGGGCTGTGCCTGCTGTGCTCACCACAGAGCCTGCACGGAGCAGACGCTCCCTAAATGTTTGCCAAGTAAGTGAGTAGCTGTCATAGGTGATGAGGGACAATTGGAAAGCTCATGGCACTCTGAGCCTGGAAAGGCAGGTTCAATGTTACTGTGGCCCCCAAGTACTCTCTGCCTATGGCTCTCTATGGGACAGCTCATCAGGTCTCCTTCACAGTGTGAAGTGTGTGTGTGTGTGTGTGTGTGTGTGTGTGTGTGTGTGTGTGTGTCTATTACCTAGAAGGCTTGCTGAAACACACATTGCTAGGACCTCCAGGTGTCTGTAGGACTGTGTGGGGCCCAGGAATGAATATTTTTTTATTTTATTTTATTATTTTATGTGCATGGGTGCTCTGCCTCAATGAATGTCTATGCACCACATGCATAACCAGAGGTCAGAAAAGGGTGTTGGCTCTTCTGGAACTGGAGTCGAAGATGGTTGTCAGCCTCCATGTGGGTGCTGGGAATCAAACTTGGGTCCTCTGGAAGAGCAGCTAGTGCTCCTAACTGCAGAACCATCCCTCCAGCTCTGAGAACAAGTCTTTCTAATGCATTCCCAGGTGCTGCTGATGTTGCTGATCAGAGAGACTCGGCGTGGCAGCCATTATAGCCCGTGGCAGCCATTAGCCCGCTAATTTTCTCTCCTTTGTTCATAACTTGTGCTCCTTACAACCTGTGTACGCAATGTCTGGGTTCTGTGACCTTTTCACTCTGAGGACTCCCTAGTCAGCGGTCCCTCAGACCAGAGATTCCTCAAGGGATCCAGTGAAGCCAGAACACAGGCTGAGCCCCGCCCTCCTCCCTGCCCCCTTGCTTGGAAGCCCCTTGCTGCGCGGGCCAGGCTAGCAGATTGCCTGCCCCCACCCCCGCCCCGCCCCTGGGCCCCACTACAGCCCCGCGGCACTCACTTGGAACTGGCCCTCGAGTGGCCAAAGGACAGGTCCTTGTTGCAGGAGATGGGGGGCACATACACCGGGTCCTGCTTGGAGATGCAGGAGGGCGGTCGCACGGGGCACTTCTTGACGGCCTTCTGACCGCTGCAAGTGCTGTAAAAGCTGTAGCGGTTCTGGGTGGTCTTGTGGCCCTTGCTGCTGCTCAGCGTGCCCTTGCGCAGCGTGCCCCTCGGGTCACAGTAGAGGTCAGGCTCGCTGCGGCTCGCCTTGATTTTCTGCATGAAGCAGATGTCGCTGCCCGCGCCGGTGGTGGCACAGCTGCCCCGCGGGTAGTGCCGGCTCCAGTTCTCCATCTGGCTGTAGGAGCTGAAGCGTCTGTTGTCCGGCTCCCGCTTGAGGGTCCCATTGTAGATCTGGACAGGAAAGGGGCGAGAGGTTTAGTCAGGCTCCTGACTGGGATCCTGGATCTGGCTGTCCACGAAGGCAGCCCTTCCTGGCCCCACTACAGTGTTCAAGGGATCAGGAAATATTTGCAGAGAAAGGGACCTTGGGCGTTATCTGCTTGCTGTATTACTTTTCCAGTGCAGGTTGTGAATCACTGTGGACTATGAGATCATATTAGCAGCTATGCCCACCCTTATCAAAAGTATAGAATACAGAAATATGTGAGAAACTATACAATACAGAGTGTAACATAGCCTGCCTTGTGCTACAGTGTGTAGATTCTGAATTGCAATGTAAAATGGACTTTTTTAAAATTAAAAAAATAAGTGGGGTGGTGATGGCACACGCCTTTAATCCCAGCACTTGGGAGGCAGAGCCAGGTGGATCTCTGTGAGTTCGAGGCCACTCTGGTCTACAGAGAGAGCTCCAGGACAGGCACCAAAATTACACAGAGAAACCCTGTCTCAAAAAACAAATAATAATAATAATAAATTTATTTTGTGTACATGGGTATTCTGCCTGCATATATGTCTACACACCACATATATGGCTACACACCACGTATATGTCTAGTGCCCAAAAGGACACCAACCAGAAGAGGGTGTCAGATTCCCTGGAACTGCAGTTACAGATGGTTGTGAGTCACCATGTGGTTCCTGGGGATTGAACCCAGGTCCTCTAGAAGAGCAAACAGTGCTCTTAACTGCTGAGCCATCTTTCAGCACCCAAAATGTACTTCTTATTGTGGAAATCTGCAAAAGGATGTTCTATACCACTGATCTGGCCACATGGGCCAAGTCTAGGATGGGGGCTGCAAATCAGAGCGGGGGGAGTCTTTCAATAGTCAGGAGGACTCTTGTCTCGAGTCCTTGCCTTGTCCCTGCAGGCCATCCCAAACAGCAGCAGCTTCTGACACAGCCAGCCCTGCATCAGCACTTGTGCATAGACGTTTGGAAATGTCTATTCTATTCATGTACAAAGAGCTGTTAACTAGGAAGCCATGGTGCACACAGAGGGGGTACAGGGCTACAGGGTAGAGCCCGGGGAGACCCCTGGGCTGTGTCGTCAGGCTGGCCGGGGAAGAGGCAGGGCAGAAACCCATCCAAAGGGAAACACGTACCATAAGCAACAGCCCAACTGGGAATTTACTTCTCTGGGAGGAGCCTGCCAAGCCGGAGACTTGGTGGGAATCAGCTCTGGTACTGAACTCTCCACAGAAGACTTTCCCAGACCCGAAAGCTGGCGGGTCTTGCCTGCCGGAACTTGTTCTCAGACTACAGGATCAACACTGAGCCTGATAAAACCTCTCCATACAGGTGTTGACTTGGGACTCACCTCTGCGGGGATGAGCGAGGGCCAAGTCCAGCCCGGAGGCTGCCCACCCAACCCTCATCAAGGGATGGGGTAGAAAGGTGAGAAAATGGGTGCAAACCGTGTGTCTGCAGGGGAGGCTGTTAGGAGACCAGCGAATCCCCTCTACGTTGGATCTAGCCACACAGACCTAAGGAGGGGCCCATTGTTCCAGTTCCCCGAAAAGAATGCGTGTCAAGCTACCCGTTGGAAACGGCATCCAAAACCCAGAAGCCACAGACTGTTAACCTTGGTGGTGGCAGGTACACTCCCTTCCCCATGCCAAGCAGGCACAATTTTCTTCCCCCAACTGGGTCAAACCACCCTGCCACACAGTGAGCCGGTCTGTGGGCGTTGGGGAGACACAAACAATGATAAGGCAGAGGTGAGAGGAGCCGGCAGTTTTCTGGCCGTTTGGAGGTGCACCGGACTCCTTGGCAATTATATACAAAATGTCAAGAGGCCTCCGCGCTGCTCCAGGCAATGGCCACACTCTGCCTTCTTCCCCAGGGAAGGAGGGGAAGCTGTACACTCCCCAAGGCAGGCTGCGCTTCGGAGGGAAAGACAACAAGGAGTTCCCTTGTTCTCAGTAAGTGACACACCTGGACGTCATCTCAGACACCTGATGAGGAGCGCAGATGCTCTCCTGGCCCAAACCCAGCGAAGACGCCATCCTGCTGATTAAGCCCCAGAGAGGTTCTGGGCTCAGCAACCCCGTGCTGGGAAAAAGGAGCAGCAGGCGGCCCTGGCAAGTCTCAGCGAGGTGGGCTGCCCCCAGGGAATGGGCGAGGACGCCCCTGTGAGATTGTAGGTACCAGCCTACCCCCCCCTCCCATCAGCCACACCCCAGTAGTGTCATCCATTTCTGGGAGCCCCACCCCAGCCTTTAAAGTCACAGTGCTGGATTGTGTGAGGATGACACAGAGGTGACTCTCCCACCCCCACTGCCTTTCGCTGTCGCTTCCACAAGCAGGAGATAAACTTAGCTGGGCCCTGCCCTCTCCTGGCGCTACACATGCCTGAGTGCTCGCCGCCGCCGCCACCGAGGGTCAGGTAAAGCATACTGCCTCTAGCCCACGACCCAGCTGAAGCTGCAGCCTCTAAGGCTGAATTGGCGGTGGCGTCTTGGGGGTCCAAATACTCTCCTCAAGCATGACCAGCTGAGGGCTTGCGCACGAGAAGGAGATGTGGTCGACGTCGAGAGCTCGGACTGGAGTCACATTGCCTTGGTTGTCTCGGCGGCCTCCTTGGGTATAACCTGAGGTATAACCTTAAACCCAGGATGGCTGAGTTTCTCCAGCTGTCTAACCGAGATCCTAATTGTTCATGACATAGAGGGTCATTAGAATCATTAGACTAATGTCTGTAAATTAGAACTGGACAGGCCAGGAGTACTTAGACCATCTGCATCCCTCTGACTCTCACACTGGCTGCCTTTAGGAGCTGGCGGAGGGTGCACACACATGCACATGCACTCCAGGGATCCCCCTGGCTCTCCCTCCCTAATGCTGGGATTGCACGCACATGCCATCATGCCAAGCTTTTCACACGGATCCCGGGGATTCAAGCGCAGGACCTCATACTGGCGTGGCAATAAACCTACTGACTGAGCCGCTTCCCCAGCCCCTCTGCTTCCATCCCTGTCTTAATTAGTTAAGACAAATTCTCCCACCGAACCCAGAGCTCCTGGATTCAGTTGGTCTAGCTGGCCAACGGACTTCAGTGATCCGCTTGGGTCCATTCCCCCAGCACTGGGGTTACAGATGTGAACTGCCGTGCCTGGCTTTTAAGTGGGTGCTAGAATCGACACTCTGGTCCTCATCTTATTCTATAGCAGGCATTTTTAAGAACCCACACCATTTCTAAAGAAGTTTCTAGGTAATCCATATGGGGGTGAGCCCAGGAAGGGGACACCCGGGACTCAGAGTCTCATGCTGAGCTCATTACATAGCACAGAAGAGGTCTAAGTATGTTTGAGAAAAACAGAGGTACCTATTCTGCCCAGATGGTACATGGAGAAGGAGGCAGGCTTTCTGCCAAGGTGGTGTAGTCCTTACATGGGTGCTCCTGGCATCTGGGGCAGGAGACTTCTCCATTGTCTGGATGCCCAAGCACCACAGGATGTTTGTGGTGGCCCTGCCCCCAGGCTCCGAATGATAGCAATCCCACTCCCACCCCCATTTCCAAACACTGTCTTCTAAGTCCTTAGCAAATAGCTGCAGCCAGAAGAGAATGCATGGACACCTGTGCCCACAGCAGGTGGGAGAACTCCACTGCCAATCCCTCTCCAGCCACACCCCCACACCCAGATAGGAATCTGCTGGCAGCCTCCTCTTCTTTGAATACAAAGGGGGCACACACACACACACACACACACACAATGTCAGACTATCCCATGCTTTCTTGGGAATCTCAAACCTCAGGTGGGACAGACTGTGAATCAAAGCGTTCCAGACTGGACACTCAGCTTCCTAGGAGCAGAACGGACCATGTAGTCAACAGGCTGGATTAGGTGGCTACAACTGAAGCCCAGAGTGTGGACTCAGAGACATGCTTCTCCACCTCGAACATTAGTGGGGCTCTTGAAAGTCAACCACAGTCCAAGGCAAGCCAGACAGACTGCACTGGCCAAAAGCATCCCCTAGCCAGCCTGTGTTCTGCCCTCCCTTCTGCTGGCTTAAGACGCCTTACTCACCTGCTCTAAGAGTGAAGCCAGGCTTTGTGCCTCAAGGCATCTGTTTCCTTACATGGCTCTTCCTGCATCCGAGGAAGACACGTCTTCATTATGCTAATGAAGCACCCAGGTTGTTTAGTGGCCCTGCCTTTAAGGCTGTCCGGCCCCTAAATGCTTTTTTCCCTTCTCCCCCCTTTTCCTGAAGGAGTGTGGCATTTCAGCCCACGTTGATGGTCTCTGTATCCCCGTTCTTCTTTCAGTTAAGTAGGAAGCTCTCAAGAGCCCGCTACTCACTGTGTAGGCAAGGAGCGTGAGTTCTGGAGTGAGCCGGAGCAAAGTAAACCAATGCCTTTCTTGGGCTACAAAGGCCTAAGAAACTCCTGTTTGTCAGAGTCATTGGGGAGGACAGGAGGCAGCCGTCCTGGAAGAGGTGGTGTCCACCTGAGCATTTTGTCTGCCTCCTCCTTTTGAATTGCCACTGCTTCGACTGTGGGCCTGTATTTCCTCGGTTTACTCCTGTGCAAATATATCTGATTTACAGGATATCTGATATGGGGGGTCGCGACACACAGGTTGAGAACCATTGCTCTGATCCCGGCCTTTTCACACCATCGCTCTCTGCTTTCTCAGGCAAAGCTTCCATTAGCCCCGACCGACTGACCGTGCTGGAGGACTTGACGTGTCCCTGCTATTTACCAGGCAAGCACATCAACTTGACTCTAGTCCGTCTACCCAGCCATCTTGTCCCTCCCAAACACACCTTCTCACCCTGTCCCACAACAGCAGACACATGCTGGCCCCTGCTTCGCCCACCTACCTTGGAACCCCACCACACTCCTCCCAAGCTTCTGCTCAAACCTGTCATCTCCATGAAGTCAGCTCTGCCCCATCTTGGCCCGGCTGCTCACAGCTGGAATCCTTCAGCTGCATACCCACCCAGTCTCC